GTGAATAGTGGAATATAGCACAATAAAGATTTATAATTGTGGAAGGATGGCTATAACATAGATTTATTGAGCCTTGGTGAGGCAGACACTGAATACTGCTAAATAAACCACTGTCCAAGGTGTAGGAAGCATGTTTTTGACTCCTGGCAATGACCTCACTGTAATTTGTATGCATTAATGTATATTCAGAAGGGAGGTGGAACATTAAATAACTATTTGTTGCATGATCTCAAGACTGAATCATCAATGAAGGGACAAGTTGAGCTCTCTGCTTTGAGGCTGGATTGTGTCAGAACCCCATATTCAGCTTACGAAGAATTTTGATGGATTAGATTAAAGTCCTATCTAGGTCAGTAAAAGCCCAAGAGAAGCCTGTAGGTAATATGTTATTGCAAATGGATCCTGCTATTTCTGTTCTTCAACAACTAGCACAGTTGTTCTGCATCCATTGATTCCACCATTAATGGCTTAAAAATATCTCCTCCACCCCTTGCCATTGTATATGAATCTTCTTCAGTCACAGATTATAGTATCCAAGCGAGGTACTGGAACCAAACCCACATGGAAATGGCATTAAATAAAATAGTGGGAAGAAGCAGGCATTCAAGATAACCTCAAATTGCCTTTACATTTTCACAAGTTTGAAATCTGGGTATCAGCCATGAAATGACTGACACTGTTAATCATAGATCTGGTAAGGATCAATAAACTCATCTTTCAAAGCCCTTATTAATACAAGATACGCACCGCTGAAGCACCTCTGGTAAGTATCTGTGGAGGCTCTCCGTAAGAAGTTCCAATGAAGCAAGTCGCTACCTTCCCAGGCAACCTTTTCAGGAAAATTTCATATCATAAGAAAAATTTCCTCATGTTTAGTAGATGCCATTTCATATAGTTTGAACACAGTGGTTTGGCGCTTGCTCCGTGGAGCAACAGAAAATGCATTTTCTCTAGTGCCCAAACAACAGGTATTCATATATTTCAAGATGGCTATCAGTCATAGTGTCTGTTAATGGTCTCTCCTTATGGTTAAAATTTCCAGGATCCCTTGGGCTTTCTTCATACTATTATATCATACTGCCATTACTTGTATTATTTATTTGACAATTATGCATGTTATACATTTAAATTTAATGGTTTTTGAGAACAGAAAATTGATCTTTGCCTACTGCTTGATCTTTGAATACTTCTGACTTCTAGCAATTGTTTGTGACCTCAAAGTTCATCTTTTAAACCTTTCCAGAATGCTCAAGAGGCACATGGTGTGGCTGTACCAACACCATCAGTACCAGAAGGATTTGAAGACAAATCATCTCCAGGTAAGATGAATGTTTTCATAACTTCACTGTATCATCTTTGCATTACCAGCACAATAATGAATAGTGTGGTTATGGCTAATGTTGGTCTATGCCATTTTACCTTTCATTAAGAAACGAGGCAAGTCTTATGACTGAGCTGTAAGGCAGCAAGTCTGAGCTGGTAATAACACACTGTGCAACTAGTCAAGTCATTTAAGCCATATACAACAAAATATTTTATCCACCTAAAAATAAAGCATCTGATGCTGATGCCAATTGATAAGAAGTTTAGGATAAAGGCCCAGAGCCCCTCTTAGCAGAATGATGAGTCAGTCCTACAATGTATGTAGGGTCAGCCTACCACATTTTCCAGTAATTTCAACTGTTTTAAAGCACCCTACCTCAGTAGTAACAGCAAACAATCCAGAGGCAATTTGCCAATGATATAAAGTGAGCAGATGTCAGTTAGTAGTTATTCATTCATCAAATGTAGAAACTAATATTTCTACATGCTCTACAATAATTTTAAATAGAACTTCTTTTATATAGGCATTATTAAGGAGAGCCAGTTTTGGGTAGGTTTTATGATAGAACTTTGAAATTCAATCAATGATACTCAAGTGAGTAATAAATTCGGAACCCACCAGGTGGATGACATGAAATGAACTCCTTGGAAGAAAATTAGAAGACGACATATAGTTTTAAATAAAAGTGTCCTTTTTGTGCATTGTATTCATTCCCTTCTTTCTACTTGCTGAAATATTTTAAGTCCTTAAGGAAATGCACCTCCATGCTAAATATTACTGCAATTTGGTGATGGAAATCATAAAGTTTTATGGATGGCCTTTAGCAAGTTGCTTACCTTTGGTTGTTTTAGGGATAAAATGACATCACCATGGAGGAAATGTGTGATATGATCCTCTAGTTAGGATTAAGAATTTTTATGTTTGGGGCAACATACTAAACTGTAGTTAATGTAAAATAAAAGCTTATCCTTGAGGCTAGAAAATGAAGAAAAAGCACACAAACCTGACAGATTAGCATCATTCCAGTCATAATAAATTGTGGTTTATCATGCTGTCCAAATAAAGCCAGAGCAACATATGTATGACTGTTTTCTCTGGTATACACTCAATTTTGCCACAAGAATAATATTGCTAAATCTTACTTAGCTCAGAAGTTGATTGCCACTGGTTACATGATAACATAACTATGGTATCATGATTTCATGCTCTGAAAGAAATTCAGAAAATAAAGTTCTTATTACAGAAAATTAGGAAGTGCAGAGATTAGTCAAAAGTCTTGAAGGACAGAGCTATCAACAGCTCATGATAATATTGGTTAAATATTACCTGAGCTATTTATAACTGTATTCTCCTCTATACCTGTCATTGGACAACAAACGTCAAAACATGTTGTCATACTCATGTTCTACCCATTGGCCTCCCATATGTCTCTAAATGATAATTAATTGCTAGAGTGGAAAGGCTTTTTGTCTTATCTTCTGCAAGTCTTTTTGTATTCTTTGTTCTGAATACCTACCAACCCTTGGGTTTTTTAGCCAGATTATTCAGTAGTTGGTGGTAGCTACAAGCCCATTGGATTACTTTATTGTGTTGTGGGTTTACATTCAGTGACAGAAGTGACCCTGAGATGCAGATTAATAGCTGGCTCCACTAACAGACTTCTGGGAGTGGTGTGGTGCGTGGAGGAGCAAAGGCTCTTTGGAATCTTCAAGGTATATAACAGTTTCATATAGCATTTCAGAAAAGTTCTGCCTGAAGATTAGTCAAATGCATCTTGCCTTGTTTCAACATAAAACCATGAAGATTCCCATTACATTGAGGGTTTGCAGTGGGAAAGCTGTTAAAGTAGTCCTTACCTTCCTCCACCTACTATATGTGTTGCACTACAAAACTCCAAGATGGCATTGCCTTCTGTGTGGGAATTATGAAACCTGTAGTAAAATACACATCTAGTAGAGCCAGCCTGGTATTATGATTTGAATGTTAGAGTACTAATTTGAGAGATGAGGATTGACTGGGTTGTTGTAAGTTTTTCGAGCTGTAGGGCCATGTTACAGAAGCATTCTCTCCTGAGGATTGACTTCTAACTTTTCCACAGAAACCCACTGGTTGGCATGGCAAACCAGAGTCCTTCAGCCTCAGAGAAAGGCAATGGTAATTCCCTTCTGAGCAAATCTTACCAAGAAAACCTTGTGATAGTTTTGCCATAAATGAGAAACAACTTGAAGGCATACAACCATAATACATCTAGGAAGCAGGGGACTTAATCCAACACACTCAATTCTGAAGCCATAAAACATCAACAGACATTTGAAATGGGCATTGAATAACTTTTCAGCATTCCAACACAGATTTCTTTGAATGTTTTAAGAAGTTCTTTGTATTTATTTTTAAATATTCCGATTTTTATCATTTGCTTCTCATTCTATTTGTTCTGTTTTATTTTTATGACTTTCCTATAGATGAGTTAGACTTTAAAAATAAACTACTGTGAAGTACTGGTATTTATCACTGCAAAGAAAAAGGCTTGGTATGTTGATAGAGGGGAGCTATCTTTAAGATGAATCAACCAGCATCTTCAAATGACACATTTAACTACCTTCTACAGTCAGGCAACCATGGCAATTATCAAGCATTTAAAAATATACATAGGTTACTTCCCTGTTAATGAGTAAAGTCTTCTTTGCTACAAACTCCCCTCCCCAATAGGGAAGCTGGAAAGCCTTTTGATTTTATTTGTCTTTCTTGTTTGATAGTGAGCCTTGATAGGGTTGCCAGCCTCTAGCTTCTGTTTCCTCAACAAGAGGAACATTTCCTGAACATCGCCTCATGAGGAGTAGCAGATGTAGTTTCACATATCAGCTACTAGAAATAACCATTGTATTCTCAAAGAGATTTGCTGATAAGTCCAGAAAGGCAAGACCAGAATTAGGCTTGGATGAACATGAATTTATAAGACATGGTGAGCTGGAAATAATTTAATATAGTGCTACTCCATGTGATGGTCTGTGGACAAGTGCTAGTCCACCAACCCTCAGCTGCTAGTCTTGGTAAGATTTCGAGGAGAGAAAGAAAATTGTTGTAGCCAACAGGCAGAAATATGGTACCACTAGAAAAAAATAACCTCTGATCACCTGTAATAGATAACTTGGGAAACTCTGGGTTGAAGTGCATTATGGGCAGATTGGAGGGGACAATTTAACCTTCCTACACCTCCCAAACTGCTTTGCACCAACTGTTCTCACTATGAAGCATCACAGCTGAAAGTGATACAGCAGAAACAGGTGGAAAGAAGATGTTTGGGGAGTATAGTATTGACAAGGCATATCCCTTCTTATAGAATTCCCATTCCCTTTTATACTTTAAAGCCCCCCACCCCACCCCACACACAGTTGCACAATTTATTGGAATCCTGCACAATTTAAGTTGCATTGGGTTTCATATATGTCTGGGAGAATTAATTTAGATACAATGTGAAACCTATATTTGCATATGTAGGGCTTTATAAGTGCAAACAGAATCAGCCAAGGTGGAGCAGGCTAGCATTTATCAGGATTGCAAAGAGAGTGGTTTAAACCCTTTTCTGCTTTGATGCACTCCTGAAGAAAATATCCCTTCTGAATTTACTTTGGCCCCAGGGATTGATATTCAGTAAAGTAGAAGGCAGTAGGAAAAAGAGGGAGATCAAATTGTAGATAGATTGCTGTGTGCCTTCATGTGGTTTTAGACTTATTGTTGACTATCATAGAATTTTCTGGGGCTGAGAGTGTGTGAATTGCCCAAGATCACCTAGTGAGTTTCCATGGCTGAACAGAAAACTGGACCTTGTTCTCCAGAGTTGTAGTCCAATGCTCAAACTACACCACCACACTAGCTCTTTGCAGGTGGACACAAACAAGCCATAAATCAAAGTTGATTTGATGGAGTGAACAACAGCTCAGTAGATTTGTGCTTCCTCCTTATTCCATGTATCCTATTTGCATTTTTAATTCTTTTCATGTCACCATTTGTCACAACACATGGTGACATAAAAAGAGTTTAAAATGCAAACTACACTTTAAAAGCACCTTCCCTAGGCTGAAAGAATGCACAGTCTACCGAAACTACATCTTCTTGCATCTGCTTAAGATCTACCATCATTAGAATCCCAGTAATTCTTCTGGGAAACATTATGCGCAACAGGGAGTTGACACTATTTCCCAAAACAGTTGTTGAGAAATGTCAGTCATCCAACAGAGATCTAGGATGTTTGTGCACATAGCACACCTACACACCCAGAAATTGGCACTTATTGACTAATCATAGTTTGGGAAAGTTCTGTTTAGACTACATTTCCCTCCCAACCAATGTTGCCACTACTGGCTAGGGGATTCTGTTGAGTTGCATCCAAACAGTACATTTCCTAATATACTCTCTCAACAATCTTATTGAAGTGAGGGAGTTCTTCTCAACTGCATGAATATACCTTGTTTATGCGCCCAGAAAATTTTAATGTATGCATGAAAACACAAATGGCTCTATGGAATGAGACCAAGAAATATTGTGTAAGTACTCTACTGCTGACCCATGGTGCCTTAACACTGCCTTTACTGCCATTGCTTCATCCTGTAAAATTCTAGCTTTCATACTTGAGTGAAGTACTTTAAACTTTCTACCAGAAAGCTCTAATGTTGTCATTCTGGGGGAGTGCATGAATTACCAAACTACTACTGGTAATTCCAAGATTCTAGAGGGAGGAATGTAGCAGTGAAACTGTCATGAAATTTCTATGACTGTGCATTGTAGATGCACCCAAAGTTTTATTTTGCTAGCATGTATTTGATCTAGGATGGAAAAGAGCTCCCAAAAGTTAAATAAAGCTATATAATAAAAACATAGCTATTTCCTTTTAATTATTACAAAAATATTAGTTTTTTTATTGTATTTTCCAGGGACAAGAAAGACAGACATATTTTTGATGAGGTGAAAAAATAGAAAATATTACAAATGTTTTGTGAACCTTTGATTCAGTTTGTTTTTAGTGGTAGGCTGTATTTTTAATCAGTATTTCATAACTTCAGCCTTCTAAATATAATATTTTACTCATGGCTTAAGGAAAATATTCAGCTGTACTAATGTTGAACTGACCCATCTAAAATAGAGTGTCGTAATCCTATGTGCTGTTTTCTCTCTAGGACTTGGTTCTCAAATCAATGGCAATTACAGAAAGTACAATTCGGTAGTTGACCTGAGACCCAAGGGATTTGAAAATTACTTGGATGATGATTACATCCCACCTCCACCATCAGTTCCTCCTCCACCTCCTCCACCACCACCACCTTCAGTTGATCTCTCTCTAGCTCCACCTTCCATGAAAGCTCCAGCAGCACCTTCTGTGGATGTACCACCTCCGCCTTCTGTAGCAGCTCCACCCCCACCTCCAATGGCTCCACCACCTCCACCTCCAATGTCTCCTTCATCTCTGGCTCCACCTTCATACCAATATTCCAATCTGTCTTCTCCCAGTACTCCATCTCCACCAGACTTTATTCCTCCTCCTCCTCCAGCTTTTATCGATCGTGCACCTCTTCCACATTCACCACAAATACACACTCCACCTTTCTCAAATGGCGTGTCCAAATGGAAATCTGAGACTGTTCTAAATATCAGGGAACCGGACACTGTTCCCTCCAATCTGAACCACAATCTGAACCTCAATCCTCCTTTAACCCCTAACCATAAGGAATCACAGTTGCCACATTCCAGCCCAGACCCTAATCTCACTTTCCCTCGATCATTAAAAATACCTCCCCCTACTCCTGTCAGAACGTCATCTATTCCCATAGGAGAAAACGAATCCAGTCCCAATGATGAATTGCTCCCTAAAATGGCTCCTCACAGCCGTCCTGCCCTGCCACTGAGTTTTACTGCCTTGCCTGCAGCCGCAGTTCACTCAAAAGGAGAAGCTAGAGGGAAAGTTACTTTGGAGAAGCCCTCCATATTAATCACAGAGTCAGGAAATCCAGATTCTGATGGCTCTCCTACCAGGCCACAGGAGGTACCATCTGCAGAAAAAGCAGAGCTTCCTTTTCAGGAAATTGCATCTTCTGATGATGATCATGATGATGACTGGAAGGAACGGACTAATTTGGACAAACTGAAACATGACCTATCTGCCCTGTTGTCCTCTTCCTGCAAAAAAGAGGATCGTCAGCAAGACAGAACTGTTTCCTCCAAGCCTAAAACTAGCATTACTGATAGCAATCAGGTTATTAGAGATGGATTAAAACAACCTAAGCCTATTGTGAGTGACCCACAGTCAACTCCAGCAAGAGAGAGTGAGAAAAAAGAGAGGACACCATTTAATACACCTTCTCCAAGAAAAGCTTTTACCAGTGATGCCATTTCAACTACAAGGACTAAACCTGCCTCCCCACAAGCAAACGGTGCTATGACATTTAAGGATGAATTGGAAGCCTTGCTCTCTCCAAGCAAGGATGGAGGCCCACCGTTGGCCCTTGCAAATTTGAGACATAATCCAGAAACAAAGAAGCAAGTTACTCTTCAATTTGGTGGCAGTCAGGTCAATGGGGGAGAGGCCAGGCTGTCACATCCCACAGTACATGAGAATAACCCAGCATCAGGAGTGACAGAGAAAGACCCTAAGACACCTAACATCTCTTCTGGTTACTCACTTCCTGACAACACTCAGAAACCTCCAGTATCCCCTCTGAAATTAAAGAATGGACTCTTGAGTCCATCTACACCTTCATCAACCTCTTCTGGAGGGCCATCACCGATACAAACTGCATCTCCTACTGTGGATTTCTCTCTCTTGCAGTACAAGTCACATCGAACTAAGTTTGGCTCAGTGGACAGCTTGGCTTCTGCAGCTTCATCCCAAACTATAGAAGATGGGCCAGTCAGCATAAATAATAATGAAAATGTAAGGGACTTTGCAAGTCCCAGGTCCTCAGTCACATCCACCCTATCTAGGAATGTTGAAGAAGCTGATAGTGAGGTTTTGATTCATCCCGTTACGGGAGAGAAAGTAGAGAGAGGCTCCCCTATGGCTCTGCTCTTAGCTGCACAACAGCGGGCTCAGAGGGGTAGACGTTCTGCTGTTACTTCCCGGCAAAATAGTTACTTATCTGAGAAGCCTCTGCTAAAGTTATCAGAAAAGCTGCACAACAGCAGTCATGCAGAGACAGGCTCATCCAACATTTATTACAGTGATGCCAAGCCCAACTCGATCACAGTTGTACCAAAGTTCCCACAAAAGGAATCCCTGGAAATCTCAGAAAATATTACTGCATCAAACACATATAGTTCTCGCTTAGTTCAAGGTCTACTAGAATCTCAAAACGTGAAAAAACAAGATCCTCAAAACATGCCAGGAGGATCATCTATACATGCTCTTGCTACACCTCCAAAGCACATTGTGAGCAATACAGAGGTTGCGGAAGAAGTGCTTGATTATGAAATAATCCCACCACCACCTGAATTCAGCAATGATGCTGGTGTGGCCCCGATTGAGTCTTCAAATGGAGAAGAAAACCATAAAGACCGCAACATCTCAAGTGAATTTCAGGCCTCAGATAAGAACCTCAGTCACTCAAGCTATGACTATGGAAAGAGTTATTCACAAACATCTAAATCAGTCTTGGAAAACAGTATGAGGCCAAGTGGACACAGCCACCATTATCCAGGTGGGAGCTATTCCTCAACTTATCTCAGTTCCTATTCAAACAGCCGGCCTCTGATCAAGAAGCGCCTTTATATGTCAGAGATAGATGATTCATATGGTAGGCCATCCATGTCCTCTCGCAGTATGAGCACTCCCAATAACTATGGCCACAATACAATGACATACAACTCCCAGGCTGTTGAAGGGATGCAGCGGATCAACTCTACTCACAGGAATGTACCCACCAGCATGCAGGGCAGAAGGGTGTCAGTGGAACTGACACCTGGGAAAATGCTGACTTATAATAATGCCTCCAGTGATGCCAGGTATAAAAGCCAGAGTGGAGAGTATGCCAACAGTGGAGCAGGTGCCAGAAGGTATGTTTCATTTGCCATATTTAGAAGAGGTATGGAGTGAACTATGGGCTATAGAAAAAGGCTGCTAATTAGATACAATCATGCAGGTAGCTGTAGTTTTCACTGTCTGATAACACAGTTAAGAGGGGGTCCATAGATTTAAGGTTTTTTTCCCACCTGGGGAAGGTCTTTATAGCATTCACCTGATTCTCAAAGGGGCCCATGGCTCAAAGGAGCTTAAGAACCACTGGTCTGGTGGATGGAAGGTTTCTTTCTCCTCCCAATAGTAGTAGGGAAATTCTAGATGGCACTTTTCTGTATCTCACATGTTGTTGATATCCCTAGTGCACCAACTAGAGACCAAGCCCACAGTCCTATGCAGAGTACATACAAACACATTTCAATTTACAAAGCCACATCCCTGTTCAGCTAGGTGACTAGAGATATTAAAATGCCTCTAGATTGCTTCTCCCACATCTGCTCACAAATAGCAAAATAAAAATAAGTCAGCCTGAGTTGGTGCTGTCATTACTAAATGGGATACTATGAACATTTTACAATATTCCTGTATTGCAAATATTACAGGTGAATGAGACAGTGGGAGTCTCATTCACCTGAGATATCAGAGTAATACACACAGAGAGGGGGGGAGGGGGAGAGAGAGAGAGGATCTGAACTGCAAGGAAAAGGGAATAGAAACAGGGGGAATGTATTTATACTGTGTACCTGAGGTTTGTACCTACAGTGACTTAAGGACATTCCAAAATTCCAGCTTATTCAGACATTAGCAAGTGATTGCTGAAGAATCGTTTGCACTGTAGAATATTTTCTTGTATTCGGAATGAAAGCTGAGCATCAGTTTTTCTTATTTAACGTCCCTATCTGTTTGTAATATTCATTATTGTTTCACTGCATTTTGTATACTGCATTATATGATGAGGGATTTCCATTTTGCTTGATGACATTTTAATTCTTTTTCTCCCCTTCAGATCTTCTCATGGGAGTCTGCAATATGGGACAACTGCAAATACTTTCACGGTTAGACCTGGTACAAGACAACCCATTTCTTACTCGCAGCAAGGAGGTCTTCATTGAGGCCTACCAAGAGGAACTTGCCATAGCTCTGGCTGAATCTGATGCTACACATCATAAGGCTCATTCTATCTACTTTGTTATGAGCTTCCTTTAACAGTTGTTAAGAGCCTGAAAGCAGTCTTGTTTCCTTCTTATAAACAGACTGGTTGCAAGACTGGATGTAAGTTAAAGTAGGCAAGGGTAAGATTTTAAACTGGCAAACTGGCATTCTACAACTAAGGGCTTCAATGCAGTATAAAAACTAGTGACTTCTATGCAGAATAAAAGTTGTATGATTCAACAGCATATCTAAACTTAAAGCAGATGTGTAATTATATAGACTTTCTTCTCTCTAGGGTGAGCTTGGCTAGTAGGTGACTACCTACACCCCTTACCTATGGGAAAACTACATTTTACAACAGCTTCAAGAACTTGCAGCTATACAGCAAATGATACCAAAGAAAGGTTGGATGGCCTCATCCTACAGAGAATCAAGAAACAGCTAAGAGGTCCCAGAAGTAGAAAGAGTGAGCAAAGTCTCCAGGTTTCCAAAGTCTCCAGGTTTCATTAATACTGGCAACCCGAGCTCAAGAACTGAAAGGAGGAGATTGTGATCAGATGAAAATAGTATGGTTGTGGGAAAGAGGAAGTGGGGTTCACAGGGAGAGAAAGCACAAGTGCAATAGAGTGGATAAGGGAGACAAGAGCTACCTTCACCAGCCTGGCACCCTCCAGGTATTTCATCTCTGGTTGAAGAAGGTGGTCCTGGTATAGAGTTGAACTTGCTTCATAGCAAGAATAAATGTGGTAATTCAAGCCTTCCAGTTCCTGTTCGGGATGGTCTACAGTGCATGAATTTCTGCTTATCTACAGCTGGAACTCAGACAGAAGAGGCATTGATAGGTCAGGGAAAAGCTACTACATGCAGTTGGATCTGCTAGAAGTGTGTGTGTGTGTCCTCTATTTATATGCCAATGTTTCAAGTAAGATGCAAAAATGTTTCAGATCTTTGTCAGCGATAAGAAATTGTGTGACTAACTTCAAGAGACAAGAATGAAACTTCCTGGCAATATTAAGGGTCAGTACAATAGGAATCAGTTTGTTTGACTTGCTGTTTTTATCATAACCTTTAACATTCAACTTGATAAGGGAGATTTTGAGTTTTAAAAACTGGGCAGAAGAGAAAGGAGTAAAAATGTGTTGGTTATGTGTTGGTAAAAATGTGTTGGTATTTTGACATCCCATTCAAAATAGTGATAAGGGACCCTTTTTGGTCTGGGACCTGAATTTCAGTTTAAGAAAGGCTCTTGACTGCATTCCTGTGGTGGAGAAATCTATAGGCATAGAACAGGGCCCAACCAAACTAGACAAGACTAGGTGTAATTTTGATCAATTTTGACAATTTCCAGACACGATTCTGCTGAATTCTACACATGTCTGATGTCCCTCTTGCTATTCCTTATATCAGTTCCTTCCTCTTTGTTAGCAGGTGGGAAAAAGGTGTAAGGCTGAGGAACAGAATGAAAAGCTCGGGGCTGTATCTATCCCTGAACTTTTTAAGAATTTGAGATAAATCTTCTGATTCAAATCTAACTGTTCTACAAAAAGCTAGTACATTTCCAAGCAGGTATGATTTAGAGATGTTGACTTTTGCATGGTGGCAAGGGCACTTTTAAAGAATAGGTGCTGGCACCTATGAGCATGAACTTGAAGATATATTTTAGTGTGTAATTAAAATGGAAGCAATGCAGTTCGAAAGCTCATCTCTAAAAACATAAATCTCACAATCTGATGTTGGCTAGCCAGATTTCATTGGACATAAATGCTACTCAGTGGGATTCATGTCAAAATACTATTATAATTTCTTAATCAACCTTATGTGAGAGTTCCTTGTTACAGTTAGTTATTTATGTTGGTCTGTTTGTCTCTTGCAATTTTTTGACAGTTATAAGAAAAAAATCTAAACTTTTCATTCATAAGCTAATTCCATAGTCGATGCATGCATCTTTGGCTTTTAGGAGTATATACTCCACAATCTTTCTGCAGAAAACAATATAATTTCATATTTTCCCCTTGACCTTACTGTAACTTATCAAATACAAATAGAAAATTTTGCTGATTTTCCCTGGCAACAGATCATTTTCATCATATAAAAGTAGCTCTCATAATTCCATGATGATTCCCATATCCACAGAACCAGTATCTATCTGCATCTGACAAAATATGTCATCTCTAGTGATTTTCTAGAACCTCCAGAAAAAAAATTCTTCATTGGAAGTTACCATAGAGTCACCCTGGAGGACTTAGCAAATGCTCAGGGAGAACACATCTCTGAATTTTCTAGGTCCTCCAGGATGATTCTATACTTTCCAGCAGAAGTCATTCATTTCAATATGATTTGCTATTTTCCACAGCTTCCTGTTTCCATGGTAAGTTCAGGAAGGTATTCCTTGCTGATCCTGAGCTCACACTGTATGCCCTTTTAATTCATATCAAATTATTTAGGTGGTTATTTTTCAGACCATTAGGATTGGTTGCATCATTAAAAGCAGCCAAATGGAATAGCTGTTGGCTTTTGTGGCAGAGCTAGTGATGAATCTATTCTGGGTTTAGCCCAAAGTTCAAAGAAGCCATCTAAGGTATTTAATCTATGGATAGAGATCTTTGCTTCAGATTGGACTCAAGCCCACAGCAGATTCAATGCCAGATCAGCATGGAAGTCCACAGCAGCCTCTTCTTATTATTTCATGCACCCACTGAGTTGTTCTGATCAGAAACTGCAGGGACATTGCAATTCGCTCTCAGTAATGTTCCACGTGTAATAGCACAAACATATATACTCTGTGTACAGTGGTGTAGGGAAAATGAAAATCTCAGTTCCTTAGTCTTGCAACCATCATTGTCTGCTTATTCCAACTGGGGTTTCCAAATAAATAATGTTCGGAACAAATAAGAAATATGATATGGCAGTAGCTTGGTATAAGCAGGAGAGTGTGTACTCTCAGCATTTATCACAAATTGACAATCTCTTTTCAGGTTGCCAACATTTGTTAAAGACCACTGAGACAAACTCATGTAATATTTACATTGTAGGGCAATAATGTAAAGATTGTAAAATAAATGTAAAACATGTAGAAAATGCATTGTACTATGGAAAAATAAAGCACTTTGAAGCAAGCATCTTGAAAGCATTCCAAATTTGTCCTCTTTTTGGACAGTATTATCTGTTTATTGCATGCATTATTTCCCAGTTGTACAGGTGGGGAAATGTGTGTTATGTGAATCAAGCTTAAAGTAATTTTCCTTGAAGTGTATTGTAGATTAATAATGAACTAACTTTGAAAAGTGGGAATTATACCTTTTTTCATGTCAGGAATGACTTGAGAAACTGCAAGTCGCTTCTGGTGTGAAAGAATTGGCTGTCTGCAAGGGCGTTGCCCAGGGGATGCCGGGATGATTGTTCTTTTACTCTCAGTGTGTGCACATCTAGAAGACAACTTTTATTGATCTCATAACATACCACCTTTCTTTTCAGCTAATGGAAATATTAGATAAAATGCAATAAACTAAACATTTCTGTTCTGTTCTCTAAAGGCTATTGCTAGTGGCTACAATCATTAAAGAGGATGTTTGAGTGAACAGGAAGAATTATATGTAGTACACAAAGAAAAAACATACTTAACAAAATGGAATACTGGCGGCCATAAAATCTGCATGGAGTGCATTGCTCCATAACCTTGCACAATGCCTCTGCTTTATTACATGTGGTTTTCTTGTGAACCTGAGGGGCAATTGTGTATCTGTAAAGAGCTTTATCCAAAATGATCAACTGAACCAAAACAAACATTCCGACACCAACTTGTATGGGATTTGGACATTTTATCTTCAAAACAAGTTGGAATGTTATGAACGATCAAGAGTACAATGTATACCACTGTAATATATGCTCATGTATGAATCTCGAAATTTTAGTCAAAAATTGCCCTGGGTTGACTCAGGCCACAGATACCTATGTACTGGGTTCACATGTGAAAGGGGGACTATACAGGTACTATAACCACTATTCCTGGAGGTTTCCAGTGCTTTGAGTGGGTTAGTGTGATTAAGGAAGACATAGCAGCAAAGGGATTCAAGAACTACAAAACCAGGTTGGAGATCATATACAGTCTACATGTTGTACACACCTAATACAGCATGGGTGTGTGTGTGTGTCATAGTCCAATTTGAAAGAACTCTCTCTGTTTCTTCTTCAAAATAGAAGTGGACCTGTGCATTATTGCAATCCATGAGTGGCTGCTGGGTTCTCAATACTTACCCACCTTGCTCTGCTTCTGCTCAAATCATGGCAGGATGTTTTTGCACAACAGATGCCTGAGGATTTTTAGACTAAAATTTCTAAAGCTTCTCCAAGTGATGGATAAATCCATAAAGTGTACAGATAACAATCTAAGTCCTGGTGACATATGAGCAACTGGGTTTTGTGGTCTGTGTTGTTTCAACTTGCAGGCAAATGATCCTTGTTAAGGATCCTCTGCCTCCCTCGCTGTTGTCTTTAATATCAATAGCCAAACAGTCATCTTGGCTAGAGGCACACTTGATGGGGCAGCATGGGCAGGAAAGCTTGTTCTGCCGCTTGCAAGCTCTGGTTATAAATAGAACATAAGCCTTCAAAGCTGCCCGTGCAAATCCGTTCAGCAAGCCCTAGCAGGACAGTCTTTTGAGATGGCAAATATTTGCATTAATCCTCCCACAGACTCGAAGGAAACTTAAACATAGGCATTCATGATCCTGAATGACAACCATTTTAAGCATAACAAGAATATGCAGCTTCAGCATTTTTGAAATGGAAAAAAAAAGAATCCTTGGGAGAGTCACAGAAGCAGAATGCACCCAAACCAGTTTGGGGTGCATCTTTGCGGAATTCAAAACAAAGACCCAATTTCACCTCTTTTCTGAAACTTTGTGCATAAAACACTGTCACAATAGTATACTCTTCAAGAAGACTCAACATCTCAGCTGTGGAGATCCTTCCTTCTTTGGGGCATAAGAACACAGTTTACTCTTCATTCCTATGTCTATGGAAACAGATATGTTCTATTTTATTAGTACATTTATTTTAGGAGGAGTGGCTAAGGCTAGATACAACCCACCCTACGTAGCAGAGTTTGGAATATTTGGAGGCCATCATTCAAAAAGCTGCCAATACGAACCTGTTGTCCTACTTTCATCTCTTAGCTCTTGGAACCTTTGTGAATCTCATATGGATTGCAACAATCTTTGGATGTCTTTAGGCTCCACAGTTCCTACTGTCGTCCTTTTCCAAACAAACCATTTAAAATCTCTTCAAACACTCACTTTCCCACTCTGTGGGAAGTACATTGGGTTGAAATGTGGTCTTCAGTAGGACAACCAGAGAACTCAACACTGTTGCAACTTCCCATGGGATCATGTTTCACACAACAGGCTTGCAGCCATATTTCAGCCAGTAAAGGAAGATAAATACCCTTTGCCCGCCCAAAAGGACAACAGAATGCATCAGAACCTAAAACATGTGCATGCCATCCATACTAGATAGAATCCATGCAAGTAAGTTCACATCTCTAGACTTGAGTGATGGCTGCTATTTATCATGAACTGGTAAGCTCAACTTTGGCAGCTGTGGTAAGCTACCCTCCAATTACTTCACTTAAGGAATTTAAACAGCAGTGATTCAAATGATAAGGTTATGATCAAATCTATGGCTGGTTTCCTAGTGTAATTTTCCAGAGTTTCAAAAAGCAGCAATTTCATTGTCCAGTCTAACTCTAGCTAGTTGCTCTTAGAGTTAAAAATTTTCTTTAATATATTAATTCTTTTATCATAATTTATCTTTAAAATTTCTATTAGTAGATAGCATTTTAATTGTGTAAATTACACACATACACACATAGCAGTTTTAGAGCTAAAGTTCCTTAGAAAGCTAGCTAGATTTCTTTCTATCTTTTTTACTCCCTTGCTCCCTCCTCTCCCTCTCCTTTTTTTCTTTCTCTCGCTTAGACATTAGTCCTAGAATGAATGTATTTACATCCCAGCAGGTGTTGTGCTGCACAAAGACAACCAACAGTTCACATTACCGACTCAGCAGATTTGTTGTGGCAGAATTCACTCTATCAGATCTGAAAGGTTTCCCAAAATTTGATAGTTTCTTTATCTGTCTTCCTCAATGAAAGGTGAGACAAGTGCAAGATAAATATTCTCATTGTTTCAAGAGGTACTTCATTGCAAGATGCCTTTTAAGGGCAGGCTGGACAAGTCATGAGCAACTCCTGCCCTCTAGCGGTTTCTCAAAGAAAACCACGACATGGAAAATGTACCTGAAGCTACACAATAGGGCTCAGCCATAGTGAGTCAAATGGGTAAACATTGGTGCACCAATTTACGCAGTGAAGGAGTTAGCATTTCCAGCCACTTCACATGCCAGTGAACTTGAGCCTCTTTATACAGCAATATTTTACAAATCTCTGGGCCTTACTGCATGCTATGCTACTCAGAATGTAATACATTTCATGACTTGGCCAATTCATTTCAAATAAACAGCCGCTGTGAACCTCACAATCTGGAAAATATTCCATATGCTATAGTAACCATGGAATCCTGGAGTTGGTAGTTTGGTGAGGTATCCACAAACTTTGTCAAAGAAGGCCAAAAGACCTTGTAAAATTACAACTTCCATAGCCATGACAGTTACAAGTGATGACAAACTACAGTAATTTCACAGTATAGATCCTAATCCAGGACTCTGAAAGACTAGAATTGAGATCTCTGCTCGGCTATGGAAGCCCATTGGGTGACCTTGGGCAAGTTGCTCTCTCTCAGCCTTAAAGAAGGGCAACTGCAAACCTCATCTGAATAAATCTTGCCAAGAAAACCCTCTGACAAGCGGGAGTCTACTTGACAGTACATAATAAATAGAATGAGGCCCGACATCAATTCTACACTGAAAACCATCCAGTCCAATTTACAGGTAATCAGTGTAAGACCCTTATCTGCAAAAAGGTACCTTCTGCATAGGGGCCCTGTAGGCAGCTTTCAAGATTGAAATTGCCAGTCTAAAACAGGTTTAACAAGAGTGAGTAATGGAAAATATAATTTCCCCCCTAGTTAAGAAAGATGGAAAAACACACACTCCAAAACTGCATACACACACCCAATTCCTCACTAAAATCACAACCATCCAAGATCTCCTTAAAATGTCTCTTGTGAAACACAGCCCACTACTGCCCACAAGGTGTTATTACTTAAACACCTTTTTCCAGTATATACCTCGATGCAGAGGATTTTACACCAATTACTTACTTAGGCAATCCCTCGTTGTCCGAGGYTGATAGTCCTCCAAGATCGGTGTACCCGTAGATGACTGTGGAGCCCTATTCTTGATCTGCATCTTCTCCTGCAGTGAGGGCATCGGTTTCCAGGTGGAAGGCAGTCCTAGTCGGGGTTGACTTGATGCGCCTTCCTCTTGGCACGTTTCTCTCTTTCACCCTCCATTCATGCCTCTTCAAACTCCACAGCACTGCTGGTCACAGCTGACTTCCAGCTGGAGCGCTCAAGGACCATGGCTTCCCAGTTCTCYGTGTCTATGCCAGAGTTTTTAAGGTTGGCTTTGAGCCCATCTTTAAATCTTTTCTCCTGTTCTCCAACATTCTATTTTCCATTCTTGAGTTCYGAGTAGAGCAACTGCTTTGGGAGATGGTGGTTGGGCATCRGGACAACATGACCAGTCTAGCGGAGTTGATGGCGGAGGACCATCYCTTCAATGCTGGTGGTCTTTGCTTCTACCAGCACGCTGAGATTTGTCCGCTTGTCTTCCCAAGAGATTTGTAGGATTTTCCGGAGGCAGCGCTGATGGAATCGTTCCAGGAGTTGCATGTGACATCTGTAGATAGTCCACGTCTTAAATGTTTTAAATCATCCTAACCTCTAATAATTTGTTCTTGCTAATGTTTTCCTTGGGAATGCCAATGACCTTTGCAACATATCTAAAATGTGAGTTTGCACAGGTGCAACAACTCCACTGACAATCTGAAGCATCACAACTCTGTGAAGTGATAATACCAAAAAGTTGTCCTTGTGAAAGGATTCAAAGCAGGCATAATTAAGACAAGACACTGTTAAATAAAAACAACCATTTCAAAATTAGAAGAGATTTATTTTTTTTTAAAAAAAAAACAAAACATAAACTCCCTCTCATCTGTATGTAGTCATCTCCATTTATTTCATATATCACAAAGTCCTGGAGTAATACTTGCTTCCAACTAGCAAGGACAAAATTTGTCTTCCTTTCTTCAGAAGATCACAGACAAGGGGGAAACCCCTACTCCAATAGGTCTCCTTATAATATCCCATTATAAAACCACATGTCACCATCGGCATGCACACAATATACCTAATACTCCTTCATGGATCCTGGGAGTGAATAAAGTGAATAAAAAATGAAAATACATATAACAAACTAGACTACTAGTCTAGGAAACTGTTGTGGACACTACCAATACTTTGGATTTTACACAGCGATTACATCAATCTACAAACACCTAAGTTTCAGATTCCCTGTCCTTGAAGGTCTAATGGCCACATATTTAGGAAAATGGCTTCTTAACCAGCCATCTCTACTATAACCCTGGTGGTGATGGTGCACAAAACTTACACTTAGTTTTGACACGTAGGCCTGTAGGATTTGAAAACCACTGGCCAGATCAACTCATTCTCCCCAAATTGTGTATGTTTTTATTTGAAAGTGTTCTTCAATCTAAATGGAGAGATCAAAGCCAAGGCTTTAGAATAGATTAACTCTTTGTTTACCCCATTTCCAAGCCAGTCAGCCTCATTTCCAAAATCTGCAAAGCCCCCTTCAGAATTGGTGGGAAAATTAAGAGCCACCTTAAAAACAAAAAAACAGTTGCAGCTTCTCACTTTCTTTGGACAGGAATAACCTGTCATTCACATTTTAAACCCACAAGTCAGCAAAACAAAGCACATTTGTGCACCCAGACTTGTAATAGGGGTGAAGATTACAACACATGTTCACAAAATGACCTCACCTGAACTAAGATGCTAAGAATCAAAACGTGAGGCAACCTAGTACATGGGTTGTACAAGGATGCAATATGAAGGGAGGAGCTAATTCTTTGCATTCTAGTACAACCCATTTTGAAGGGAGGAGCTACTTCTTTGTATCCTAGTACCAGGATACAAAGAATTAGTGCCCTCCTCCCCTTTAAGATGCATTTGCACCCATCTTTCCCCTGAAACAGCAGAAATCCAAACATCACAAATTCCTTTTGCATTGCTGAAGTCCTAGGGAGTTGAAGATGTAATGTTCAAGAAACAAAATTCCAAGGAAACACATAGAACTAGCTGAGCAATCATCTGGTATATCACCAGTAGGTTCTAGCTTTCCATGATGGAAACCCTGAAGAAATAACAGCAGCAGTACAGGAGAGGGGTGTCTTCTGTTGCATACTAGGCATTCCCCTGATAATATACAAAAATCAAGCCTACAGTACCACAACTAATCCCCATGTATTTGACAAGGACGAATGGGTCAAGACTTGTCCTTCTTATAGATCACAATTATTTGTACCACAAAGCACTGCATTTGTAAGGCAGGGTAGTTTAGACTAAATAAATATCCTAAACAGGGATGGAGAAAAGTGAGTCTCAAGGGACAAAAGAAAATTCTTTTAAACAAAAAAAGTCCAAAATTGCAATCTTCTTAGCAACATTCATTTACTCTTTTGGCTAAATTACTTATGTCTTTTAAGTCATGTAATGTAATTCCAGTTGGAAAAAAATGGCAGAAATTACTGCAAGGTTTCCTTCCACTTTAGCTCTTTAACATAAACCCATTCTCCTCTATAAGGCCACATCCAACCCTAGTACTCAAGAACAAATGGATGCTATGCAGGGATAAGAATTCAAAACAGAACATATAAAATTATGCAGTTATGTTGTTGTTTTTGCCAGAGTGGTGGTTATTCTGTGTTGGAACTGTGTGATGTAGAACTTGATGATCCCATCCGACTGTTGTCAGTGAGCTTTTGTTCAATGGTGACCATGATAGGCCTTTCACAAAGTCTCGGTGGGAGCGGTTTCTAAAACTGGAAAGATAAGGATACAGGCTTAACCAATGATGTAGTTACTTGCAGATTATTAAAAACAAAAGAAGTATATGTACAATTACATTAGTTTTCTCAAACTTAGTACGCTTGATTTGCTCTCAACTACAGTTGCTATGGTGTGATACAAGAATACAATTATGATTGATGTGGAGCAAACTGATATGATTTAACTGTTATGGTCCCATATTACAGTATCTTGGGAAGTGCAGTTTGTTGGGATACTAAGAAAGTTCTATAGCAGTCAGCTGAAAACCTCTCCCAAAATACAAATCTCAGGCTTCAACAGGATGGGACAATTAAGTCACCAAATTTCTGTAACTGTTTAGTATAGATCCCACATCAATTATTAAATCAAATGAAAGATAATGAGATTCTGAACAGGAAGAAAGTACTTCACACGCAACGTAAACATACAGTGGGCCCTTGGTATCCACTGGGTTTCTGTTCTAGTACTTTCCTATAAATATCAAAATCTGTTGATGTTTGCATTTTTTTATACACAGCAATATAGTAAAATGGCATCCCTTATTTGAAATGGCTTTTTTGGATTTTTAAAAATAACTGGATGGTTAAATTTGTGGGTAAAGAAACTGTGGATATGGAAGGCCAACTGTACTATGGTGGTGCAATGGGCTAAACGCTTGTGCCGGCAGGATGGAAAATGAACAGGTTGGAGCTTCTAATCTAGGGAGAGAATGGATGAGCTCCCTCTGTCAGCTCCAGCTCCTCGTGCAGGGACATGAGAGAAGCCTCCCACAAGGATGATAAAACATCAAAAACATCCAGGCGTCCCCTGTGAAATGTCCTAGAAGTGACTTGTGTGTGTAGACACTCCTCACACACACACACACACACACACACCCCTGAAACAACAGCTCACAATTTCTGTCAGCATTAAAACAGGATGAGAGAAACTTGAGAAAGAGGCTATGATAAACAAGAAGGGCCCCAAATACTAAACTCATCCTTGGACCACTTACACATATACTGGTATATGGTGTCAATGGATTTGTCTAAGTTCCGACACTAAGTATGTCACGATAATGGCAAACACCCTTAACACTGTCCAGGAAACAACTGAGAACTCATCATAGGAATTGAATAAAATGTTTTCTACTTACATTTCTGAAAAGCTAGAGTCAAGAACAACTACTGAGCAGTCTTCACTGATGGAAGCCAAAAGAGGTGAACTAAAGGGGAAAGAAAAATATAGCTTAACTCATATTGGTTTGTTTAGATTCTATAGTCCATGAAACTACACCAGTACAACCATGCAAGAAACTGTGACATTTCTATTGACTCTCATGCTTCCTTTTATTATTTAGGGCTTTGAGGGCAAGTTTAAACCAAACAGGGGATGGCAAATTGCATTGAGGATTAGAATCCAAGGAACTAGGGAAAATAAGCAAGAATAAATGTATGCAGAAGCAAGAATTAAGGGATTACAGCTAGAGAAGGCTTCGTAGCTTCTTCCCCTCCTCTTCTCTGGCTCCTTTCCCACCTTGGAACTGTTACATCTCTGCCTTCTTTTGAGGTCATCTCCTAGGATTTCCACTTTTGAAGGGATACAAGGCTAGTACGCCTGTGAAAGATTATTTATACCCCACCTTTCTCCCTGTGAGGACGCTAGGAGGCTAACAATCCCACACTTCCGCCCCAATTTAAAACAATGTGGAAGATTGAGGACTGCCTCAACCACAATGCAAAACAGTGCATACAAAACATAGACAGGCCAACTCATAATGATGCTACCAAGCATACCTATGTGCAGAAAAAGCAAATGCCGTGACACTCCGAGAGTGCACAGATGAGCTAAAGACAGGATCTGCATTTTTCGTGTCCACAAGAGCAACAGTTCCACTTTCATCACCTTCAGAATAGCAAGAAAAAACATTGTTACTGGAAGAACATGAGCATTTCCTTACAATGTTTAGAAAATAAGAATTAAGATGATAATCCTTACCCAATACAAATGTGTCACTTCGATGTGGATGCCACATCAGTGAGGTAGGAAGGTTGCTAGAGGCACTGCAGGCTGTCAAGGGAGGAATAAAAACATTAGTCAGGATCAAATGTCCTTCTGTTTTATTTCCTAGGCAGCAAATTGCAACTGACTGTCAGCTAATGTTTAAAAGAAAAAAATGGGCAGCCCTCATATGCAAACAGTCTTAGAAGCTACAGCTCAGAGTCAAAACATTAGCTATCAAAATATCTACAAATAGAAGAGCTCCGAATCCTTTGTTTAATACAGGTTCTTTTTGTTTATGCCTGCTCATAAGAAAGTAACCAAGAGGGAAAGAAGACCCATGTATTGGATCTATATTCAGATCCTTTGAGTTGTTAATGCTTCATTTTGATATCAAAAGTATCTCCCTAGTTCTTATGCCAGGCTTGGGTCTTTTACACTAGATCACCTTTTTGTTATCAAAGTGTGGGCAAAATGTGGCTCAACCGCAGCCTGTAAAGCCTCTTATGTCCCCAAATCTCACCAGTAATTTTTTTAAAATTCTAAGCAGTTTGTAACCAAAAAATACCTGTTGAAAACTAAATCTGCCTCCATACATATGCCCTAAGACAGCAAAAATAAAAAAATAAAATAAAAATGGAATTGGAAGTGGCTAGACATCATTCTTGGTTGTGTGAATGTGACTTGCTGAAGAGGTGTAAAATGGCTCCTGCGCCTTCTAAATTTATCTACCCCTAATTTATTTTAACAGTGCTTCTGACACACAATTCTTTGATAAAGACTGCATAGTTTAAGATGCAAAACTGGGTTTTTAGAGACCACTTTGTGCAGCAAATGAATTGCAGAATGTGTATTGTAGAGGCCACTACTATGATAAAAGAGTGCATTTGCCCACTTCCCAGATGACCATCATTCAGCAAAAATCCAGTTAGTTCTAACTATAGTAGATCCATTGAAGCAATAGAATTTAACCATAGGATGCCTCATCACCCAACAACTGATTTAACGGATCTACTCTAGTTAGGACTAACTTATATATAACATGACAAACTGTGTGTTGTCGAAGGCTTTCATGGCTGGAATCATTAGATTGCTGTGAGTTTTCCTGGCTGTATGGCCATGTTCCAGAAGTATTTTCTCCTGGCATTTCACCCACATCTATGGCAGGCATCCTCAGAGGTTGTGGGGTCTGTTGGAAATTAGGCAAGTGGGATTTATATATCTGTGAAATGTCCAGGGCGGGAGAGAGAACTCTGTCTGCTGGAGGCAAGTGTGAATGTTGCAAATGGCCACCTTGATTAGCATTTAACAGCCTTGAAGCTTCAAAGACTGGCTGGTTGCTTCCTGGGAGAATCCTTTGTTGGGTGGTTAGTTAGCCCTGATTGATTCTTGTATGGAATTCACCTACTTTTTGAGTGTTGTTCTTTACAGTTTTATTTATTTCCGGTGAAGGCAGCTATTTTCTTGTGTTGTGAGCTTCATAACGAAAACCGAAGAGATCTCTATCTGATAAAAGCATCCATAGATCATTTACTTCTTATCCATTAAAGTCATTAAGGGGTTCCCAAGTGATGCAAACTGTAATTTCAGCTGGAAACAAGTCCATTTTCCTCTCAAATCTTGTTTTACTAAAGGCACAGAAAATATGAAAATAATGTGGCATTAAAAAATATACCTATACGAGTTGCTGGTTTTGGCAGTCTTGTATCCCAGAGTAAAATCTTGCCATCCTAAAAGAAATTTGAAAGAGTTAATGAGAAGTTAACCACAAACTAGTTTTAAAAATCAATAGAGTATTGTTCCCATATTGGTACCGTGGTTTTACCTATGTCTTCTTTAGAGCAGACCTTCTTAACCTTTTCCACTTGCGACCCCTTTCCACCCGAAAAATGTTTATAAAACAGGTATAAAAATGAAAAAATTACATATGCTAAACCAGTATTTGCAAAGCTTGCTAAATAGGCTGATTTTCTGTTTTGTGGAGTTCAGCTGAAGCATTTTCTGTAGGGTCCATGATAAACACTGCATGTTGCTGCTAATAAATTTGCGAAAACAGATGACATTCAGAAACCTTTTGCTGTTGAGAAACTTTTCGCTACACCAACATTGAACTAAGGGGGCCCATTTGGAATTGGCATCCAAAGTTTAAGCAGTGCTTTAGAGTATGCTTCTGCAAGATGTTATCATCCTGTTTTCAAAATGCATAAACTATCATTCTTAACCCACAGGAATCTGGTTTTACCTCAGCGCAAGACAGGAAGACTGTGTCCTTCCCAGGACAGGAGGCCACACATGTCACTTGATCAGTATGGGCTAGACAAAATTAAATGAAAAGCACAAAAATGCTGTTAATATGGATTTGTTTAGAAGGTGAATGCAAAACGTGTTTTTTTTCTAGGCAGAACATCAGTGAAAAAACACGGAGGCCTTTAACACATAGATGGCATTTAAAAATCTTTCCTTTTTAAAATATAGGAAGTTGGGATATCAGGATCAGCAATTAAAGTTTCTTTTGGTAATTTATCATTATGAATTCAGATACAAAGTGATCTGATCCACACTTCATAGACCTATAGGTAACAACAACAATGAATGCCCCTGAATTTTGTTAGATTACCACTGGTAAGTGACTCTTTTTCTTTCTCTTCTTGGGCACTTCCTCTTACAAGATTCATATGAGGATATGATCAGAGGAGGAAAGGTCATATAGGAACTATAACACACCAACCTACCTGGCAACAACAACAACAGCAATAACACTTTATTTATATTCCGCATTTCTTGCCGAGGGGACTCAGAGCAGATTACAGCACATAAACAGACATGGGCAAACATTAAATGCCTTGTGACAAAGATATACAGCGAAACACAAACACACAGGCAAAGTCTTCTTTCATTTCTGTCTCTGGAGCTGGTGCTCATCTCCGGCTCTGGGAGAGGTGCTCATTTCAATTTTCAAGCCAACAAGCCTGCATTGTCCGACTTCCTGGTCGTGTGGCAGGCATGACTGTACGGAGTGCCTTTTTGCTTTTTCCAGCAGAGGAGGAAAAAGCATTTGCATGTTTTCGAACTGCAAGGTTGGCAGGAGGTAGGGCTAACAGCAGGAGCTCACCACCCCATGCCGTGCATTCGAACTTGCCGACTTTCAGGTCAGCAGTTCAGCAGCACAAGGGTTTGACCCATTGAGCCATCTGTGGTCCCAAAATAAGGCAATTTTAAAGAAGAAATAAAGTAAGCTTTGTACTCACCTCTGTAGGTGTTGAGCACTGTTTGCTGCGGAATGTCCCAGATCTTCACACTAGACATAAAATCCAGATTAAGTTTTAGAATAACTGACAATTTTAAATTGAAACAGGAAAGCAGGACAACAGCGTTCACCTGAAGTCTTTGCTTCCGCTGATGGCTTGTGTGTTGTTGGGGAGGACGCTCACGGTTGTCACAATGTTGTCATGCTCATACTTGCAAAATTTGTTCACTATCAAGGTCTCATTTTCATCAAGCTCCCAAAGTTCCAAAGCGCCTGGATGAGAGGACAAAACAAATAGGACTTGTAGGAAAACCATCCATTCCATTATTTCATTTTTTGGTATACATTAAGGGCTGTTCTCTGAGTCTTGAACAAAATCACATATAGATCCCAATTTCAATGTCCTTTAAAATGTATCACTGTTTATACTGAATGGGATTGGATCCAGAAGAGGCTTTTGCTTATGAAAGGAGTGGTGGGAGAGTCAGTGTTGATCTTTCCTCGTTCCACATGTTACACAGTGCTGGCCATGAGTATGGATGTATAAAAGGTAAAGGTTTTCCCTTGACATTAAGCCTAATCATGTCCGACTCTGGGGGATGCTGCTCATCTCCATTTCTAAGCTGAAGAGACGGAGTTAACTGTAGACACCTCCAAGGTAATGCTCTTTAAATGTTTTAATGTTATTTCAATTTTGATCTTAATTCAATTTAAATGTTTATTTTAATTGTATATTGTTGAATCATTGCCTATCTGTAAGTTGCCCTGAGACCTCTTCGGGGTCAAGAAAGGTGGGATATAAATATAGTAAATAAATAAATAAATAAATAGGTCATGTAGCCAGCATGACTGCATGAAGCGCTGTTACCTTCCCATGAAGTGGTACCTATTGATCTACTGACATTTGCATGTTTTCAAACTGCTAAGCTTGCAAAAACTGGGTCTAACAATGGGAGCTCATCCTGTCCGCGGATTCGAACCACTTCTGACCAGCAAACTGCAGCTTAGCGGTTTAACCTACTGTGCCACCGTGGCCCCTATTGTTGCAACTCAGGGTAGTTTTCACCTTGCTCCAGACACCACCAAACCAAGGCGGTAGGTTTTTGTAGTTTATTGAGAAAATCAAAATCAAAACAAAGAAATAGAAATGCAATAGTTCCATAGGCAAATCAGAGACTTAAATGTAAAGGCAAAGTTCCCAAGATCCAAAGGCAAAAACATGAAGCATAATCCTTTAGCAATGGTCAAACAAAAGTCCATGGTAAAACAGTTGAAAACAAGACCCAAATCCCAGACTCAGGAAGCCAAAAGCATGCTGCGAAAAGCCAAGGAAAATCTCCAGAAGTTAACATGGAAGAGCAATGTTGGACTGACAACAACTGCCTGTCAGCTACAAGACTAAATACCCTTTGCGAACGAAACCATTGTGTTGACCTTGGGCATCGTTGGCTTCTTGCTTGCTGGCCAAGCGAGTGCTTCTACGAAGCCTTAATTGCAAACGACCCTGTCTGCTCATTAATTCATTATCTGCAAGGCTATGCAACCCCTTATCTGGGTCCAGCTGGGATGGATCCTCCACCTGGCTGTGTGGGATTTCACTCTCGCTATCAGTCTCTCTAACTGCAGGAACATTCCTTTCCCAGGGGAACTAACTTGTTGTTTCTCCTTCAGCAGCCACACTATCAACCCCGTCTGAAACAAGTACAGGAAACTGTAACCCATCAGCCTCCTCGTCATCCTGCAGGAAATCAGGCTCAGAAGGCCCAAAATCAGGCTCAGAAGGCCCAAACAGCTCAGCTTCAGACTCAGAGTCAAGCTGAGTCACAATACCTATGCACGTATGTAAACATTTACTAAACAGACTGCCTAGTATGAATCCCTGCAGATGCACAGAAAGGACAAAGATGGCCATAAATATGACTGAACTATTTTCTTGACAGGTTTTCCACACCTCCTTGCACTCTCATCCTGAAATGTCACAACTGGAAACAGAAAACTCCCAAACCATTCCCATCTCCAGCCAGATTTGCAATATTTTGCCTAGACATGTCTCGAAAATCCTCTGAAATTTGGGATGAGGTAGATAATGATGAAAGGATGTGTCATCAAATAGCTAGAACAGGACAAAACATTCATAAGAACATTTAGGAAAGTGTGACATTGACAGTTTGACAGAATCACACAAAAACAGACAAGAAATGTATGATGCAGTGAAAGTACTTATAAATTTCAAATTGACTAGTTTCTTTGGTGCTGGGAGCAGAAGAAAAGAAAAGCCCCTTCCACACAGTTGTATAAAATCCAATATGATCTGCTCTGAACTGGGTTATATGGTAGTGTGGACTCAGATAACCAAGTTCAACGCAGATATTGTGGATTATCTGCTTTGATATTCTAGGTTATATGGCTGTGTGGACGGGCCTTTGGAGAAATGTGGAGCAAAGAGAAAGGCTAGAGTCTTCCTTCTCTGGAGGTTTTTAACAGAGGAGGGATGGACATCTGCCGAGAGTGTTTTGACTGTATGCTGCTGCATTGTGGATTATCTGCCTTGATATTCTGGGTTATAAAGCTGTGTGGAAGAGCACTAAGATCCATGGGCCCTTCCAAACAGCCCTATATCCCAGAATATCAATGCAGAAAATTCCACAATACTTGCTTTGAACTGGGTTATCAGAGTCCACACTCAGATAATGTGGGATTTTCTGCCTTAATATTCTGGGATATATGGCCGTGTGGAGGGGCCCCATGGTAACCTGGACATTAGCAACAAGCCATAAAACGTGTAACATCAAAGGATTCCTAAATACTCACCTGAGTCTGAAGCTACCAAGATGCCTTTATCTGCAACCCATTTCAGATCGGCAATTCCGGCTTCTGTCTGGACTCCAGCAGAGCAAAAGCCTTCGTTGGGAGCTTTGGACGCGTCCTTGAAGACCCAAATGGAGCCCACCCAGCAGCGCCCACTCAAGCTGGATGCTCCCAGGAGCAGTGAACCATCTGCGAAGGAGAATGGCAGAGAGGGATAGGAACATTTCGTTGTCTAGATCTAACACAGCCATGGGCAAACTCCTGCCAGGTATTTTGGACTTCAACTCCCACAATTGCTAACAGCCAGTAAAAAAAGATTTTGTCATTTGGAATTTGTAGTTACTGGGATTTATAGTTCATGTACAATCAAAGAGCATTCTGAACTCCACCAATGATGGAATTGAACCAAACTTGGCACACAAAACACCCATGAACAACAGAAAACACTAGAAGGGACCTTGAGTTTGGGAGTTGCAGTTCACCTACATCCAGAGAGCACTGTGGACTCAAACAATGATGGATCTGGACCAAACTTGGCATGAATCCTCAATATGCCCAAATATGAACACAGATGGAGTTTGGGGGAAAATAGACCTTGACATTTGGGAGTTACAGTGTCTGGGATTTATAGTTCACCTACAATCAAAGAGCATTCTGAACCCCATGAATGACAGATTTGGGGGAAACTTCCCACACAGAACCCCCATGACCAACAGAAAATACTCAAGGCCATCCAGTCCAACTCCCTTCACCAGGGCAAGAAATAATCAAAGCCCTCCTGACAAAGAGCCATCCAGCCATAGATATAGATAGATATGATTCACACACACACACACACACAGATATAGTATCATAGATTTGAAAGGGACCCCTAAAGAAGGACAATTATATGTTGCATGTTCCAGAGTAGGCAAACCAGACAATCTCCACATCAACACTGACAAAGAAACAACAAGAAATACTGTTTACCCACAAGCATAAAGAAATTACATATATTAGAAACCAACACTTTCTCCTTACTTTATTTTCCGATCACCAGACTGGGCCACAGCAACGCGTGGCAGGTGGGCGGCTAGTAAAATAGTAAATAGATACCTGCCCGGTAGTGGGCCCCATCCAGGTGGCGCTCCATGCAGGCGGGCGCGTGGGGCGGGATGCTCCAATCGGAGCCGGGCTCCCCCTCGCCGCGCGCCCCGGGCTCCGGCTTCAGCTGCGCGCGCTGCCCTTCGCTCTCCTGCTTCTTCTTCTCCTCCTCCTCCTTCTTCTCCTCCGGGGGCGCCTTCGGGTCCTCCATTGCTCCGGCGGCGCGAGGCAGCAGAGGAACCAGGCTCGGCGGGAGCGCGCGCTCGCGGGTCCACGTGCTCTCTCCCGGGCAGCCCTCCTTACGGCTCCGCCCGCAACTTGCGTCACATCTCGCGAGACTCCCCGGGGGTGCATTCCTTCGCCAAGGTCGAAGTCTTGCTTGACTTGAAACGGACTCCAACTCCCAGAATTCCTCCTCGTTACCCAAAGCACCTGAGGCTTCTGGGAACTGAAGTCCAAAAGTCCAAATCACTGCACTGGGGTATTGATTCAAACCGGGTTCCGCCTTTTCTCGCGATATTTTTTTTTCCTACAGAGTTGGTTTTGCCAGGCCGTAGATATAGACATTCTTTATGCAATCCATGCAATCATGCCGGCCACATGATTTTGGAGGTGTCTACGGACAACGCCGACTCTTAGAAATTGAGATAAGCACCCACCCCCGAGTTAATGTCAGGGTAAAACCTTTAACTATCTATCTGCCATAACTCTGTGTTTCCAGCAGCTTGAAGCAAGTGTTGCAAATGGCCTTCTTGATTAGCACTGAATGACTTTCAGCTTCAAAGCCTGGCTGCTTCCTTCATGAGGGAATCTTTTGTTGAGAAGCAAGTGTGAATGTTGTAAATGTCCTCCTTGATTAGCATTGAATGGCCTTGCAGCTTCAAAGCCTGGCTGCTTCCTTCCCGAGGGAATCCTTTGTTGAGAAGCAAGTGTGAATGATGCAAATGTCCTCCTTGATTAGCACTGAATGGCCTTGCAGCTTCAAAGCCTGGCTGCTTCCTTCCTGAGGGAATCCTTTGCTGGGAAGCAAGTGTGAATGTTGCAAATGGCCTCCTTGGTTAGCATTGAATGGCCTTACAGCTTCAAAGCCTGGCTGCTTCCTGCCTCAAAGAATCTTTCCTTGAGAGGTTTTAGCTGGGCCTGATTGATTGTTCTCTGAATCCCTCTGTTTTAAGACCTCCCAACAAAAGATTCCCCCAGGCAGCAACCAGCCAAGCTTTGAAGCTGAAAGGTCAATAAATGCTAATCAAGGTGGCCAATTGAAACATTCACACTTGCCTCAGACAGAAAAGAGATCTTTCTCCCACCCTGGACATTCCACAGATATATAAACCCCATTTTCCTAGTTTCCAGCTGGACTCACAACCTCTGAGGATGCCTGCCATAGATGCAGGCGAAACGTCAGGAGAGAATGCTTCTAGAATATGGCCATACAGTTCAGAAAACCCACAGCAACCCAGTGACTGCGGCTATGAAAGCCTTCAACGATACAAGGTGCTATCTATCTTTCCTAACTCTGTGTTTCCCGCTGCCGCCCTTTGATTGGCCATTTAGTGACGCGTTAAGAAGTCGGCGTTCTCGCGAGACTACCCTTCGTGGAGGCGGCCATCTTCGTGCTTCCGCCGGGGTCACCGGGACGGAGGAGAGGGCAGTCCCTTCTGCAGGAGACGCGATGCTGTCCCGTTTGGCCCTCCGCGGCCTCGGTAAGCGGTGGCTGTCAGGCCAAAGGGTGGTCAGGCAGATTGGTAATGTGGGGGCTTTTTGGCCTTGCTGTGACTCGGATGTCTTTTCTTCCCTCCTGCAGCTTCCTCGGCCGGCCTGAAGAGCTTGGCGCCCTCCTTATCCGCGGGGTGAGTACAAGTGGGACAGGAATCCTGGGCCTTCCTGGGAAGCAAAGCAGCCAAGACTGTGCTCTCATCAGGCCTCTGCTGCTGGTTCCTCTCTCTTCGTTGCTGCAACATACAGAATTATAGAATCCTAGAGTTGGAAGGGAGGGAGCACAAGGGGCATCCAGTCCTGCCCCCCTGTCATGCAGGAAAAGCACAATTAAAGCCCCCTCGACAGATGGCCATCCAGACTTAGTTTAAAAGTCTCGAGAGGAGGAGACTCCACATTGCTCGGAGGCAGCATGTTCCATGACTGGGCAGCTCTTACTGTCAGGAGGTTGGGTTGCTGTGAGTTTTCCGGGCTGTATGGCCATGTTCCAGAAGCATTCTCTCCTGACGTTTTGCCCACATTATGGCAGGCATGAAAATGAACAAAATCTGGCTAGCAGTATTTTTAAAAAAACTCTTAAAATCAGGACAGTAAAGAAAGAGGAAAACTCAACCAACAGGGCAATTCCTGTTATGAAATAATCAGAGTCAGCTAATATCTCCCACCAAAGGATTCCCCCAGGCAGGAAGCAGCCAGGCTTTGAAGCTGCAAGGTCATTAAGTGCTAATCAAGGTGGCCAATTGCGATATTCACACTTGCTTCAAGCACACAGGAGAGGGAAGGAGGGAGGAAAGAGGGAAGGAAGGAAGAGCGAAAGGGTGTAGGAGAAGGAGGGAGGGAGAAAGAAAGATGGAAGGGGGGAGGAAAGAGGAAGAAGGAAGGGCGAAAGAGTGTAAGGGAGGGAAAGAGGGAGGGAGAAAGAGGGAGAGAGGGAAGGGGGGAGGGAAGAGAGAAGGAAGGAAGAATGTAATGGTGTGAGAGAGGAGGGCCTGAGGAAAGGGACCAAGGGGCCACATCTGGCCCCCTGGTCTGGGTTTGGACACCTCCCAACAAGGAAGCAGCCAAGCCTTGAAGCTAATTAATGCTAATCAAGATGATCAATTGCAGCATTCACACTTGCCTCGGAGACAAGAGTTCTTTCTCTCACCCTGGACATTCCAGAGATATATAAACCCCACTTTCCTAGTTTCCAACAAACCTCACAACCCCAGAGGATGCCTGTCATTGATGTGGGTGAATCATCAGGAGAGAATGCTTCTGGAACTTGACCATACAGCCCAGAAAACTCACAGCAACCTAGTGAATCTGGTCATGAAAGCCTTCGAGAACACATTGTCAGGAGGTTCTTCCTGCTGTTTCAAGGGAATCTCTTTTCCTATGATTTGAAGCCAATTTTTCCATGTGCCCTAGCCTCCAGGGTAGCAGAAGACAAGCCTACTCCCTCTGGGTTATGATAGTCTTTCAAATATTTATCATGTCTCCCTTCAACCTTCTCTTCTGCGGGCTAAACATACCCAGTTCTTTAAGATGCTCCTCATAGGGATACATGGTCTCCAGACCTTTGGTCATTTTAGTCACCCTCTTCTGGACACCTTCCAGCTTGTCAATATCATTCTTGAACTGATAGGGGCCCAGAACTCGACATTGTTATTCCAGGTGAGGTCTGACCAAAGTAGAATAGAGGGGCACCATGATTTCCCTCAGTCTAGACACTATACTCCTCCTGATGCAGCCCAAAAGTGTAGTCTTTTACATTCGATGTTGGCATTTTGCTCCTATTCATGCAACTAGAATTGCATTTTTTAATACCTGTATTTGCATATACAGTGATGCTTTGGCTTAAGAGTTTAATTCGTTCCATGACCAAGCTCTTAACTCAAAATGCTCTAATGCTCAAAGGGAATTTTCCCACTGGAAATTAATCCATCCCGTCACCCTCCCCCAAACCCCCATTTTTGTTGCATGTTTTTAAATAAGAAAATGTTCTTTATAAATAACAAATAATGTATAAATGCACATGGAACAAGAAAGAAAGAAAGATCAAATTTAAAATGGTAGAAGCACAAAGTTGTGGCAAGAAAACATAAAATGAAGAGGCAGAAGCATGATTTACTAAATACTGGATACATTCCAGCCTCCCCCCTCCCTCTCTTCATGAAGCCAAACATACCAAGAAGAAAAAAACCCACAAAATCAACTAACCCAAAATTCCTCAAAGTGGACCTGAGCATGAGGCATGGAGGCTGCTCCCTTGAAGCCCTAAAGTTCTGTACTCTGGTGCTAGCGCTCTCTGTGGTGCTAGCTCTTAACTCAAAAACTGTTCTTATGTCAAAGCAAAACCTGGGTTGAGTGACAGCTCTTAACTCAAAATGCTCTTACGTTGGGATGCTCTTAAACAGAAGTTCCACCCCATGTATTTAATGACGTTATCTTGGAGATGGGATCCAAGTCTATAAACACCTTATAACCACATAGCTTGAAGGTATTTTTATACAGAATAATTTTGTGGGCGAAACATTTGTAAACACTGAACCATCAAAAAGGCAGTATATAAATACAGTAACTAAATAAATATACATAGTTATTCTTTGTGGAAGGATGTGGGTTTCTAAAGCAAAGTAGATGGCAGGAAGAGATCTGATTAATCTGTTTTATCTCAGCAGCTGCTTATCCGAGTAATGACTAATCTCCTAATGGTTGAAAGCATGCCTTCCCTCTGCAAAGATCAACTTGCAGTTTTGTAAGGCCTTTTGTCTCATTGAACTACAACTCCCAGGATTCCATTGCTTTGAGCCGTGATTGTTAAAATGGTGTCAAGCTGCATTGATTCTACAGTGTACATGCTCCCCTGTTTTTTGTTGTTTTTTTTTTTTTTGCGGGGGGGGGGGGAGGCTTGAAATCTGGTCCTAATGGTTACTCTGTGGCTTGCTAGGATATTGCAGTCCTAATCTCCAGTGCTTCAGTGCTGACTCTCGCAAAGGAAAGAGGGTTATACTCTCCTCTGCAGTGTTCTTGCCATGCTGTTTTTTGAATTACTTGTGACCAACAATATAGCCCTACCTATCATATTACATTTTTTAAAAAATCCTAGTCTACAGAGAAGCATTTGACTTGATACCAATAGTGTTCCATGTTGAAAATCATTTCAATTTGAGACCATGTTAGTCATTATCATTATGTTTATTCTCTCCTTTGTGCCTATGATTGCTTTTCCAGAAGTTATATTTTCCTTGAAAAAGAGCAAACACGAAGCATGTTTTCTATTATTTGTCAACAAAGATATGTTGGGCTGTAGGATTCTGAAAATCATGTGACTTTTACAGATCTGTGATGATAACCATAATATTATCTCTGAAGAGGGCTATATGCCCGTCAGTGCCAATTGAAAATCTAGCTCCTTAACTAAGATTTAGTTGAAACTGAACTGAAAAAATATATTTTCAGTTATTGTTGCTATTCTTATTATTTGCATCTTTTTGCTATTTTGTTTCAGTCACCATAGTAGCAGTAAAGCAGCAAAGAATATATGTTGATAAAATGGATTACAAATACATTGAAAACTCTCATAATATTAATTTCAATTTGCACTCATTTTGAATT